GCAAGAGCACCTGTTTCTTGTTTTCACTCCCTTGTGCTACAGCCTGAGTCTCAGCAAAGCCCTGCCCGAATTTCTTCTCTGGCCCCTTATTAGTTTCTGTTGACTAAGGAGACCAAGGACACTGGTCGGTACCACTGTGACCTTCTACGTCTTCCATCACTAAGTAACATAAGTGATAAATTACCATGGCAAGCATATGTTGGGTTTCTGACTACAGCATGCCAGCGTATTAAATCACAGCCTTAAAATTCTCTGCTTAATAGAGGGAATATTTTCCCTCACAAAGAAAAATTCCTCCCCAAATGTAATGTTTCTTTTGGTTGCTGAGTAATTTTTTTTTTAAAAAACATCAGATGCAAAACTCCAGGAAGACTTTTCTCATGTGAAATTTACATAAAATGGAATTATCTAAAGATTCACCTGGCCAGATTAATTTTTCTTTGGCTTTCTTTTGTTTTGAAACATCTTTATTGAGATATAATTCACATACTACATCATTTACCTATTTAGAACAAATCATGCAATAGTTTCAGTATATTAAGGGAACTGTGCAACCACTTCCACAGCCTAAGTTGGAATATGTTCATCCCCCAGGGACAGCCCAGTAGTACCCACCAGCAGTCAGCCCTCAGGTCCACGCCCTTGCCTCCCCCTAAGCACATGTGATTCTACTTTCTCTGTCTACAGACTTGCTACTGGGGGCTTCTCATGTAGACGGAGCCCCGTGCTGCGCGGCAGCAGTGTAACTACTGACACCGCAGGCTCTTGCTCTGGAGCTCCGTCCACGCTGCAGCCCGTACCAGGACGCCACTCCTTTTCATTGCCAAACGATATGGTGCGGATCTACCACATTTTATTTAGCGTTGAATCAGCTGCTGGGCATTTGAGCTGTGTCCCTTTTTGGCTACTGGGAATAATGCTGTGATGAAGTTCACGTACACGTTTTTGTGTGGGCAGGTCTTCACTTCTCTTGGGTATATACCAAGGAGTGGAACTGCTGGGTTGTACGGTAACTCGGTATTTAACTTTTTGAGGAACTAACTGTTTTCCAAACCACAGGTTAAACTTTAAAGGAATTGAAAGAAAAGAAAAATGCCAAGCATTTCAAAATATATAAAAGTGAGTGTAGCTCCTACAACAATTTTAAGATTAAAGACTTAAAATATAAGAAGGACAACACATATGTTTGTCTTTCCATTGTTTTCATGCCGTGTTTTCACTTAGTTTGTGACTTAACTTTCTCATGATATTTTGGGAGGGAAATCTTGGTCCCAAACTTAGGAACTTACCCCTTACTGATAATGAAACTGCTAAAATGAAATATTTGCAGCTTGATTGGCTACCACGTAGAAAAACTGAAAATCACAGACAAAGCTCCCTTTGGATATTTCTCATACTTTACATCATCACCGTACTGCCTGGAATGCGTACAGACTTGTTTCCCAAGCCCTCATGGTATTTGCACAATGCTCTTTCATTAACGATTCTTAGTCTCAGCTCCTCACACCTGTCAAAGGAGGGCCTGAACTAACTGACTCGTGTGATTCCATCTCCGCTGTGGTACAGTCCTGTGGTGCTGTCTTACTCAGCTAAGTCATAAGTCAGACTGCCGTTGGACTTACCGGAATTTTTACTTGCTGTTGTCCTCATGAGTAAAACAAAAGTCAGGAAAGAAACAAAACATCAGATCCCCTTTGCAACTGCAGTGTAATTTGCTTCAGTGACGAAGTGGCTAAGATACAGGTTTAAATGTGGAATGTGCAGTATAATGTCTCTGCGGCCACAAGAGCTCAGGCATGTTTCAAACCTAGCTGTGCTTCCCCGGCACCAGCCCGGGGCCCCTGTGCAGCAGTCTGAGGAGGAGGGTCCCCAGCAGACAGGAAGGATGCTCGGGCTGACCTGTTCTCCTCCGGGATGTGAAGAGACATGAACTGCAAGGGTTCCACACACTGCACCAGCCAGCCCTGGCGCTCGCTGATTCGAGAGACGTCGACCTTCAAGAACTGGTTGGGCATCCTGCTCCAGAGGACGTGGGACAGGAACTGCACGTGGAGGCGCGGGGGGCACTGCGGCACCGGGTTTTTGTGCTCGCTCTTGAACAGTCCCGCTGAGAGAGGCATCACGTTCTAGGAGGTGGAGAAGCGGAGAAAGAATTAACTGAGAACACTCCTTGGGGTTAAGAGAGCAAGCACCAGAGTTCTGTACAGGAAAGAGATGGTGAAAGTAAGAGACACTGCACGTGGGGCAGAGTCCATACAAAAACAAGAGAAACTGGGTGGAACGGTTCCTGAGAAGACAAACGCTAGGGCAGGCACACCCGCGGCGGTCTCCTGCCCACACACCCGACAGTGCCCTGAGAACGTGAGAGCAAGTGAGCACGGCCATGTGCCCTTCTTATTTCTCTACCAAGCTGGGCCCTCAAGGACACCGGCAAGTCTTAGCTGCCTTCAGGGCCAGACCTCCCAAAAGAGAGGTGACATCCTCTTGGCTTTCTCCCCCTCTCGCTGTCTGTCCTGTCACCCACCTCATCCTTACACCACCTACCCACTCCTCGTCAGTTTGCCGGGTTTTAGTAACCAGCAGTACACCAGAGACAGCTAAGCGGATAATCCCGACTATCAAACGCGAAAGCAGAATCAATCAGGGTTAACGCACACCACTCCTTCCCCTGCACCTTCCTCTGCCTCCAACACGTATCTTCAGCCATCTAACTCCTTCCGTCTGGTCTCAGGGAAGGAGAAGTCTCTGCCTGCCAAAGCTTATTCATTCATTTATGATCAAGATGCCACCCCTGCCCGCCTCTCCTGGACCAAAAAATCAACTGTCTCCTCTTCCTGCATGACCGCCAGTCTCTCCCTCTCTAGAACCTTCTCTGTCACATGATTTAGACTGCCTCGTCCTCAAGCTATTTTCCTGCTCTCTTCTACTGGGGAAAAAACCGTAGGCACCGTACCAGACACTCAGAGTATGTCGGTGAACAAAACAGACAAAATCCCTACCCTCACGTGGCTTCCATTCCTTTTTTTGGGAGACATAAAATAAAAACCAGTAAGTAAATAAAACGGCATATTAGAAAAGAGGTCATGGAGGGGAAAAAAACAAAAAAACAGGATAGGGGAATCAGAATGCAGGACAGTAGTAATAACCAGGGTGCTCAGAATGGGTGTCACTGAGCAGATGACATCTAAAGAAAGACCCAAAGGGGAAGAACCATGTGGATATGCGGGGGAAGAAGTTTCCATGCAGGGGGACTGTCCATGCAGTGAACCCAAGGAAGGAGCCTGCCTGCGAGTCTGAGAAAGAGCTGGAGGCCAGTGTGGCTGTGCCACAGTGGAGGTGGGGCAGGATGAGGTGAAGCCAGAGGGGAACAAGATGCCCCGTCGTTCAGAACCTGAGAACCATTCAGAGACCTCTGATTCTTCTTCCCAGGGAAACATGGTTTCGAGCAGTGAAAGGACACAATCTGAGTTATATTCTGAAACAATGATGGCCACTCTGATTGTTCTCTGATAAGCAGATGGGTGAGGACCAATCAGAGGCTCCTGGTGGGTCTGACCTGCCAGATGGTGGGGAGGCAGGTCAAAGGTGGAGGATTTGCTGGGGAGGGAACTGGGGTGCGGGATGTAAAGGAGTCACCAAGGATGACTGCAAGGCTTTGGGTCTGAGGACTAGGGAAGATGCCGGGAGACGGGATCCAGCAGGTCAGGAGGAGTGGGGAGGGGTGGTCAGCAGTCCAGTTTTGGACATACCCAGTTTGCAATAAGACACCCAAACGGAAAAGTCAAATAGACCAGTGTTAGAGTTTGGGTTCGGAGAAGCTACCACTTTTTCTGTCAAATTTTCATTTTTTTTTAAGTTGCCAACCTTGCTGCCTCCTTTCTCTCACTTTCCATCTTGAATACTAATAGGAACTGAATAATCTGGCTTCTCCACCATTGTGCTGGTGTTTTTCTGGCAAGGTCACTAAGGCCCTCCTTCTTAAGTCATGGGTGCCTTTAGTCTGTATCACACTGGCTTTCCTGTGGCTGCCAGAATCTCACTGTACAAAGGTAGAAACGAGCTCACGCGGTGTAAGGAACAAGTCCAGGGTCCCCAATATGCACCCTGAGTTGTGCCCGGTGGCTCAGTGTTCAAAATCGCAAATTTCAGTTCAACTCCTTTTCCTGAATTTCAACCAGCTCTTCTGCTCATTGATGTTAGTCTCCCTTCACTGGCCAAACTAATAATATTTAAATGAATCCTTGACTCTTCTCCGTGAGCAATGAATCCAATTCATCAACAAATCCTATTAACCCAATTCACTGACAAGTTCTGTTAATTTCTCCCTAAAGCATCTCCTCACTCACCACTCTGTCTGTTACAACTGCCACCAATCTCCCCATCTTCTCCCCTGGAGACAGTGTCAAATTGTTGGCACCTGATTATTACTGCTGCTCTCATTCTTGCAAGAGCAGGTATTTCTCCACATCACGACCAACATATTCTTCCCAAACAGGTTTGCTTATTCTCAATCTCCTACTTCAAATTTTCAGCAGATCAGCACCGTCTATGGAGTCAGTATCTTTAAAGCCTCTCCAGCTCGGCTGTGGTCCGCCCTCCGCCCCATGAACCTCCAGCCAAGCCCAGAGGGCTTCCCGTGCCACACGACACTGAGCTCCCTCACCCTCAGCACCCTCTCCCCTGTGTGCGGGCACTCTCTCTCGCCCTCTGCCTGGAATGTCCTCTTCTGCCAAAGGCACCCTGAGATTTGCTCGTTTAAGAATCAACCTGAACGTCACCCCTGTTTCAGCTCTCCTGACCATCCCATCCTGCCTAGCTGCTCCCTCACTTCTGTTCCCGGAGTGTCAGTGGTGCCACCCCGGCAGCGCCCACCACCACACAGCAGTCTCAGCCCTTGACGATCACTTCCAGCTCGCCTGTGAGTCCAGTGGTCTCTCAGCTGTGTGAAATTTGGCATTTTTGTTCTGTCTAAGCCTAGTTTTATTGAATAACATTTATGATGACCAATGAGACCCTTTTAATTAATTTTGTTACCCTAGTGACCTGAAAGAGTACTGAATTTTCAAACATGGCAACTTTCCTCTTAAAGAATCATTTATGTGATTAATATCAGTACTAATGAAATGCTGAATTCATCGAAGAAGTGCGTGCTATTTTCTAACAGATAACAACCCAAATGTGATACCAGGAATGAGTCTCTCTTACCTTTATTCTTCCCAACTCAAACTGAAAGACATGAGGACTTGTAGCTTGTGCAAAAACGGCAGGAAATAATTTTGTACTTGGCTCCACCTTAAATAAACAAGCGAATTTAATAATATTAGTACAGCAGGAACACAAAGCAGCTGTCTCTTCTCCACAGCACCCAGAGAACACTTCTCAGAAGACTTCCTCTCTGTCACAGAGAGACCCCCTCTCGGCTGTTACTGGGAGCGGCCCCTTCCGTTACCCCGCAAGCACCTCTGGAGGCGTGACTGTTGGCTCTGAGGGGCTGGTGCTGTTATTATTTGAACAGAAGTAAAACTCCATCACGAACTCATTTGTTTTCCTCTCCTTCTATAGTCCGCCTCCCCCGTCGCGCTCACAGCAGTGCGCTGCTGCCCGGCGGGGCGCGCCAGCGCGTACCTGGTAGTAGGTGCTCAGCTCCTTGCTGTTGGCGGTGAAGGTGAGCAGCCCGCTGGCCGCGTCCACCACGCAGCCGATCTCCAGGCCGTTACTGTTGCGCCCCTGCCCCGGGCTCATGCTCTCGCCCGCACACACCATGTAGCAGTTGCTGCGTTTGATGCTGAATTTCAGGAAAAAACCAAAAACAAAAAATCACGTTTCTCTTTGTACGACCAGGGATCTACCGGAAAGCATGTGCATCCTGCAACTAAACCTAAGGTGTGCTGTGCAGGCAACAAGCTCCTGCCAGCGTGGGGGAGGTGCCCAGCGGGCCCAGGTCTGCGATTCTTGAGCAAAACTCCACTGATGCCAGGGGGCTTTCCGAATCAGGTCTCCTGAGCCTCTCAGCTCCACCCGGGGCAGGACAGGCCCACAGGCTGGGACCGAGGAAGAACTGACCTGCACCCTCCCTCCAAAAACTCAGACCACACTGGACCTTTTTTTGAGGTTCTGACAAGCTTAACTATTTAATAATTATCCAAATTGGTAATTTTCTTTCTCATAGGTTTTTTCCCTGAACCACTCGTTCTGAGATGAGCAGCATTCATTCCCGACACTGTCAGAGTCCTCAGTCAAATTCCACACGAGCCACTCAGCACTGGGGAAGTCTGGCTAACGTGATGCCCCTTTATGGAGAATTCCTGGCGATCTGTTATGAAAGACAGACTTCATCAGGATGTGCACAAAATCCGCGATATTAGCACCGAGCCCCACCTCGGTTTCACCCTCACCAGAGACGGCAGCAAGCTGACGTGACCTGAGTTTGGCCTGCTACTCCTTCTCTGCCACCACCCAGCGCACGTACTCACAAGGCTGGCAAAAAAGTCAAATCCAAGAAAACAGGAGGAAAAGAGCAAGAAGGCTGAGGTAGAGTCAGTTTCCGTATCATCACATGTTGGATGTGTTTCCACACACCACTTACAGGAGCCTCAGCGACCTCCCCCATCCTGTATTTCCTGCACCAAAACCATGAGTCAGATATCCAGCCCTAGACTGAGTTACCTCCTAACACTGCCACCATCTCAAGTTCACGGCGGTTCAGGTGTCAAAGTCTGAAGGCAGGAGGAGACCGAGCTTCCGGTCACCAAGAGTGATGGTGCAGGAACAAAAGAAAAGCAAGCCTAGGGGGGCTCGTCCTGTGAGACCTGTCCCAGCAGATCAGAGAGGGTGCACGGGCACAAAGGCTGATGTAGGAGGCCAGGTCTTCTCTTGTTCTGCAAGGAAGATGGCCTTCATTTCTGTTTTGAAGGTTGGCTTTGAATTTGGTTTGTTTTACAAAATAAAAAAAGGATGGCACAGAAAGTGGAAGTGACTTACCCTAAGCCACACAGCGAGTCAATGGCAAAGCTGAGGAAAGAACCCACTGCCCCTTGGTCCACCTGGCCTGAACCACCAGCCCATACTGCCTTCACCGCTTTCTTCCCAGCACAAAACCAGAGCCCCGGATGCACATCGGGCCACGGGCTGAACACCTCACACTCACCCCATCTGCAATCCCCAAAGGCTAAGTGGCGGTGGCCCACGTCACTGGTTGTGCAGTGTCACCTGCAGGGACACACGGTTACCACTCCCAAAACATGCACTGCTCTTACTTCGAGAGGTTTTCACTTTTAACACATTCAGATTCTTTACCGGCTTGTATGAATAACAGAAAAAGACACCAACATTAATGGTTTGATTACACTGTTCCTATAGACAGAGTATTATCTTGGACATGAAGTCCAAGAGGAAAAAAAAAGCCTAGGTTTATCGACATTTTTGTCAGATGTCGTTTCTGTAAAACACTGAGGAAAACCAACCTTTCGTGCACCTTTCCTTTTTCATCTCCTAGAGTCACGGTCACTGTGCGAACTCTGTCCAGGTCAAAGGCGGTATCGTACTGATGGAAATCTGACGTAATCCAGCCCACCCAGACGTTAGCGGGGTCTTGTCCAGGGAAGATTCTCACTGAGTAATAGTACTGTTGAGAAAGCAACACCAGGTGTCGGCAAAACAAAGAGACAAAACTTTGACTTTGCAAGGTCTTAAAATTGCCTAAGAATATATGTCTTTAAAATCGTGTGGCCTAATGAAAATGACCACAGTGTGTAATACATGTTTCCAGCAGTGATATACATTTTCTTTCAAAGAGTGATTCGAAGCCAGTGCTTTAACATAATTGACAGAACTCCACACACTTCTAATGTTTTCTGCATACATCACTTGGCTTGACACAATACATACCAAATAAATGGATTCTGTCTTTGTTAAAAAAAAACATTTGGCCTAAATTAAAACGTTACAGGCACAAAAGGCTGACACTGCAAAGGAAGGAAAGTCTTAAGACAGAGCTCCTGAAGTATTTCAGACATAACTGGAGAAAGAAAACAGGCTCTCTGAGCACAGCGTGACCCGAGGCTTCTTAAACTTCCAGGTACGTACGTATGGGCGGGCACCCACACAGCACGCTTATGTAACAAATCATCAATTCCTGAGGCAGGCAGGCTTCAAATTCTTCAAGCTTGCACGAGGGCACTTGCCTAGCCTAGAGTTTTTATACCTGTCACCCACCTCTCTGAATAGGCTCTGCTCTTCCTATCACTAACATATACTATTTTGACTCCTTAAAAGCAATTTAAAATCTGAAATTAGTTCAGATCTAATATGTGGAAGTCAACTTCAAACATGGGCAACTCTTCAAGAGACAAAGCTATATATTTTTTCCTATTTGGCATTTTATGAGGAGTGTTTTGAAAATTTTAAATGGCAGACATTAATCCTTGACCGTTCACAAAGTATGATCAATGACCTTTCAGACACATCATTGAGATGAAGGAAATCACAAAATGTACCTGGAAGAATTAAGTGGCCAATTAAAACGCTGCCCAGAAAGAGGAGAGCAAGGTCAGGAGTAAGGCGCCACTCGGGAGTATCGTTCCTAACGTGGCTCTTACTGCACAATATCCATCAGAACATGTACATGCTTTCCAACTTCTCAGTCCCCAAAATACAAGTGAGCTGTTAGTTTTGCCATCAGCTTGCTAAGCATTACGCACCAAAGTTAACTATCTGAAACGCAAAGCACAATGACAGACACACAGAGTCGGATGACAGGGCTGCAGCTCATACCGTGGACGTCTGCATCAAGTAGTCGTAGTCATCCCTGTCGTCGGCAAGGACGTCCTCAGTGAGTCTTGCGGAATGGCTTGTGCTGTAATCCGGCTTTGTCCTCCTGAGCAGAAATCTGAAATGTACAGAGGATCAGGGAGCGACATTACCACCTTCCGGCTATCTCAAACACACACACATACGATTAACTCAGCAAAGTGGCTGTCAGCTCTGCTGAGCTCCCAAGAGGGCATCTGGCAATATCCAGAATGTTTTCGATTGTCACAACTCGGGTAGGGGGCACTGGTGTCTAGTGTGTGGAGGCCAGGGACCTGTGAACAAAACTTTAATGCACAAGGCAGACTCTTACAACCAATAATTATTTGTTCGAGGGTAAAGGGCTGAAGTTGAGAAATTCAGATTGAGTGTAAGAAAGGATGCTAAAATAAGTAGCCTTCTTATTCTACTTAGAAACTCTTTAAGTTTCAACCAATAATGTAAAAATAAGTA